AGCATACGTTAGCCAGGCCTCTGGACCCAATTCTCTTCATTTCCTACTTTGGACATTAAAGAGTCCAAATCAACCAAGCTTGTTTTCCTGTCTCAGTACTGAAGGTTCTGCCACAGCAGACATTACATGGTTCTGTTCTTCTTCACTCAGAATCCAACTGTACAACATTTGGACCCGTCCATTTGAATGGACTGTCTCTAAAGTCCTGTCCTGTAGTTGTCATGTTTCAGCCAAGTTTGAACTCATTCTTTTCATTAAATCTTTTTAATCAAGCAGGAGGAGGGCACCATCCAGTCTGGTTCTTCATCTCCAGTGTGAAGAGCTCTCTTATCATTAAGGTTTATTTAGTCCAACATCCACACTGAGACTGAAGCTGACTGAGATGAGAGACAATCAAGCAAGTTTTTCAGCATCTATCAGCTCTGCTTCCTGGACAAGATGAGCTGCAGCAGCTTCATCTGCTCAAAGATCTTCATCAAAGAGACCTGGCCTGTGTGAGATTTGAACTATTAAAGTCCTCTGCTATGATAGGAACAGCATCCAGGTGACTGTTCTGATCTTCACTGAACACACCATGTAGTGCAGTAAAGCTCTAACTTCATCTGCCTGAGGTGGAATATAGACAGCTGTGTGAGTTACTGATGGAAACTTCTGAGCCAAAAGGATGGTCAGAGCAAGTAAACAGATTGACAGATGCTCCAGATGTACTAAATCAGAATGGGAAATGTGATGTCCACATCATCAAACCATCTTTTATTAGATATGACACATACTCCACCACCTGCTGATGTTCCTGGCTTTGCTGTTCTTTCCACCCATTGTAGGGAGAAGAATTGGACCGTATCACAGTGAGGTCAACAACCACTGGGGTTCTCCATGTCTCAGAGAAGTAGACAAGGTTCAGATCTCCAATGCTCAGTGGGAACCTTACTCTGTGCACAGATTATCTTGATTGATGTCCAGAAACTGGGGAACCAGCAACTATCATCCACTGGGAACTGGATTGTGGCATTTTTGTTTACTAGTTTTGGTTCTGACTCCAGTAGGTTCTCCTGTCTTTGCTTTGTCACTATTTGCATCCTCCTGCTTTGTTCTTTGAAGTGAGGTGTATCTCTGGAGGCCATCCTGAGTCTACAAACTTTCCAGAAATTGGTGAGTAGATAGTTCTAGAAGGTCCAAAAGACTCAATGTTCTGGAAATAGTTCAAACTGATTTTTTTTCCCTCGAAAAGTGAATATAGAGATGTTCCAACAAAACATAATAAAGTCAGAGGGACCATTACAGCATTTGATATTGGTCGACATGATTCTAAATCTGACAATGAAACAGATGACAAACTAAATTCTGTCTGTTCAGCAGAGAAACTAACCACTCAAAGGGATTTACCAGAACATCATCAACATAGTATTTAAACCATTTAGATCTGTGAAACAGAGAACACTGTTTCAGCCAAGTTTGAACTCATTCTTTTCATTAAATCGTTTTAATCAAGCAGGAGGTGGGCACCATCCAGTCTGGTTCTTCATCTCCAGTGTGAAGAGCTCTCTTATAATTAAGGTTTATTTAGTCCAGACGAACTAGTTGGATGAATCCTTACTTGAATATTTCCAGAGTAAAGTCTGAACCAGACAGAAACTTCTCCCCTGAATCTTGAAGGTTGTTGTTCTGCAGGTCAACCTCTCTCAGAGAGCAGCACTTGGACCTCAGAACTGATGACAGAACTTCACAAGTTCTCCCTGAGAGGTTACAGGATCTAAGTCTGAAAGAAGAACAGACAGATGTTATTTGGACAGAAAAACTATGTCTCAATCCATGAACAGTCAGAATGTTTAAAGTATGCTCTGATAAAAATAGAAACCATAAACTGGGTTGTTATTTATGTTCCACTGTTCTGACCCTGCAGGACCCTTGTGGTTGGGCATTTACCTTTCATTTCCAGCACTGATTACTGATGGAGGCCCTGAGGACCTGGAAAGGCATATCTATTTCAGAACTCTTAGACATAGTGGGTCTTACTTTTGTTGTGTCTCCTTAGCTGGATCAGCATCACTCAATATATGAAGGATAAAACTGTTAATATTTTACTACTTTCTACAAAGTTAGAAGTTTAGTTTTAATATGACCGTAAAGAGATTGCAAAAAGCCCAGATGATGAGTTGTAATATATAACTTTTAAAGCTGAGCAGTATTCTTTTGATGAATTAAGAACAGAATTGTTAAGCAATTTAGACTGGGTACAACCTTTGCTTGTTCTGTTTTAAAATAAAAAAACATAATGTCTTTATTTGCTTGATTATTCTTAATTTTTCTGTTTGGAATAATATAAAACACATATAAATAAATAAAACAGGGGGCAGTTTTTTCATTTCAATGATTAAAATATTAATAATAATGAATTTTATTTGTAACACACTTTACATTTGACTTCAAATCTCAAAGTGCTACATTTAAAAAAGTGAAAATTAAAACAAGTTTAAAAGACCATAACATTAAAAGCAGAGTAAAAAGACAATCATTAAAATCAATACATTAAAAGGCATACGTAGCCTATTAAAAAATCTAAAATCAACAATTGTAGGCATTTCTAAAAAGGAAAGTTTTTAGTCCTTTCTT